AGGAATGCCTGTGGGCAAAAAGGGATGTGTACATAGGCACACGCACACAGGTACAGCAGGACATGTTCTCCTCATGACCCACAGACCAGAAACAAAGGACTCGGTGCTAGAAATACTTCCAAGCAGCCCCACTTTACAGACAGGCTTCATCCCAAGCTCTGCAGCTCAGACCCTTTCTTAGCCAGCATGAAAATATTTTATTTTGCTTTTCTTAAATACCAAGAAAAAATAGGCCTATCTTTCCTGGCTTGGATTTATTCCATCTGGAATCACTGCATGATCACAGTGAAAGTGTGTTAGAGCCTCAGCATAAAGCAAAAGCCCAAATACTTTCAAGAACCCATACGATCATTAAATCTTTGCTGTTATGCTCCATCTCCTGGCAACAACGAGCCGAGGACTTGGGGCTTCTCACTTGAGATCACCGAGTTCAAATATCTCCAAGCCCCCTCCCACAATCCAGAAACATGCCATTGCTTGTGGGTGTGATTCCTGTCTCCAGGACTGAGAACAAAACCAACACAGCTGCAGGAAACCTCCCCAGCACATTGTATATGCCATGTGTCACAACAAACATCCACACAACCGGAAGATAATGGCTTAGCAAACAGCTCAGTTGTTCAGGCTAAGGACATCAAAAAGGCACATGGAGAACTTTCCAGGACACAGATCCCCACCGCCTTCTGGGGAGCCAAGCACAGACTGAGTGAGCTCTTGAACGCCCAACGCAGGACTTACTGCAGGCCAGTAACCCATAAATCACTGACATCAGGGCCAGTTCCTCTTGCCAGCTGCTGCTCTTTAGGAAGCATGCTCCACCTAACTCCTAGACAATGATTTTCTATCATCTCTGCCTAATGACTGATGAATTCAAAGAGACCACTCTGCACATTGCTACTCTGGAGACCATCCACATGATCAGGAGATGAGAGGGAACAACACCTAAGGTCCCAGATTTGGCAAAGGCAAACAGCATTTTTGGTTGCTCATCAAAAACCTGAAAAGGGCTCTGTTTCTTGAAGGCAACAAGCCCACGCCTCATGAACCCCAGGAGGCTGATCAAGTCAGGCTCCGCACCGCAAGGGCTCCAAATCACTCTGTTCTTCTGGAATTCAAGGCATCACCTCCTGACAGTCCCAAACTCAGGAAAGTTCAGGTCTAAACTCTCACCCCTCAAGAAAAGGTTACCAATACCACCACTAAATACCAAGCTCTCATGAACTAGTTCACGATGGAGGTTACTACCGTTGTTCTGCTTAATGGACAGTGAAGCCGAGGTTCAAAAAGGCAAAATGATTTGCCTACAGTTGCCCAAATAGTCAGCAGCAGAGCTATACGCAGGCTCTGTTTTCCAGCCAACAGGCCACGCTGCCACCCCCATACCAGGTTAGAAATGGGGTAAGAACGAATATGCTATAAGAAACTCCCAGATCAGTACTGGAGGAAAAAACCATCTTCCTACCGACTGTGACACCTGGACTTGGACTTCGCTGGCATCCAGTGGCGATGTACTCGACCCCTGGGACTTTCTCTCTGAACTGGATTGGTGCTCCTGGTATTTCTTTGACCTTGCAGGTAATGACAAGAACTCTTTTCCAGAGATCTTCATGTCTCCCACGTGATGGCTGTCCCCATTCTGGTCCTTGGGAAAGCAAGAAATAGTCATTGCAAAAACTGCCTGTCTCAGGTTTATGTGGAGATCTGTTGGCAAATGTCCACTGAACAGGAGATGCACAGAAGCAAGAAGTTAACGTGGAGTTTAGATAGTGCGAGTTGCCACTCACAATGTGCAGAGCTAAATGAGGACATTTTGCCTGTCTCCGCAATGGGTGATTTTAATGAGCGGAGAGGAAGCATCACCCAAACAACACACAGTAGTCAACTTCTCCATAGGGAGAAGGCACGGAGAAGTAGCATACTCTTAAAAAGTCCAGGTATGGAGGTAGAGACATGGCTGGCTTATTTACAGGCATAGGGAATGATGGATGAAAGGTCCAGAAGCAGTCACTGCTGCTAGCGATCTCTGGCAACTGCACTCATAAAAACCTCTTGCAAACAGAGTGGCAAGCTCATCTTGCTCAGGATACCAAACTCTTGGCACGAGTCCCTCCACTTGCTGTATCTTCACTTCTTCCTAGCGCCCAGCCGTGCTGCAGCCCACACTGACCCATGGATAACGTGACCGTGCCCCAGGGAACATGGCTATGCTAGATGCTCCACAGCATTTCCCACCTCTAGGATTTGGCTCCCAGCACACACAGAGCGTTGCCTGCCTCAGTGTCTCCCACTGGCTTCAGCAAGAAGACAGGCCCTTCCCAATGGTTTCCTAAAAGGCAGATTAACGTGAATGTTGGAGTCCCATTCACCTCTTTTGCCAACCCTCACGCTACCAGAAGCACATGCGGACCGCAGGATAACATGACTAACTACAGCAGCTGGTTACAAGCAGTCCCCTGTTCTCTCACTGCTGTCCTCCTTTGCTCTCTTAAATGCTTCTGCTCAGTGCTCCCATAGACATATAAAATATAGGATTATCACCCCTGCGTAATGCATGGGGAAACTGAGGTCACAGAGATTACACATCTCTTGAATTCTAATTTTTGTCCCTTCTCACTACAGCTCCTCACTTTGCTTTTCCAGGCCCTGCCCTGTGCCTGGCTCCTCCATTCTCACCCCCCTCCTGCAAGACGCACACAACCCTATCCATTCTCTGTCAAAAGACTCAGGTTAATGGCCCTGCCTGTATTATCAGAACAGCCTCATTACTGCTGTCACGCGGATGAGGCCCTCGTACAGAAGCACTAGCAGGACTATTCAGCGTTTAGCTCCAAAGACACTTATTAAGGGCACCAGGCATTTTACATCCAACTGGTGGGAACTGAGTGCCTAAACCTGCTTGATGCTTTGGGCTTCGGTGTTTCCAGGCTGCAAACTGCCTCTTTATCATACATAAAGCACTGAGGGGGCTCCCCAGGGTGTCCTTACTGTGGCAACTACAATGCAGGTGAAAGAAGCTTGAGCACAGCTCAGGAGGTGACCAAAGGGCCCACGAGGTCGGGATTTAAGGGCACGTACACTGAAAAGCCAAGGATACTGAACAGGATCTGAAGTCGCAGCATACCAACAGCGCAGTGGGATGCTGTAGCCAAAGACTTTTCCATTTATTGCAATGCAAACAGGAATAGTGAGAACAAGCAGGGAGAGATCCATTTCCCTAGATGCTATCGATGGGACCAACAGCAGTCAGGCTGGTGTCCGCCTTTTGAAAAGCAGCCACAAAAGTAGATTTCAGAACTGGAAAGAAACTGCCTTACAATGCCTCACTGCCTTAGTTAGAGCCCTCAAACTGTTTAGTTCATGACAAAAAGAACAGATGACTCAATTATGGCACATAAGCACCTGCAGGGTAAAAACCGGCATGTGATAAAGAGATTTTTAGCCTGGTAGAGAGAGGAATAAACAAGAACCAATGGCTGGGAGCTAAAACCAGGGAAGCTCAAAACAAGGAACAAGGCAGAGGTTGGAGAGAGCAGGATGATCGGGGAAGCGGCATTCCCACTATGTGCTGGGGCGTTCAGAGCCGACGCGGGTGCATCCTGGCAGGCACGCTCTGCCCAGACACACCACTCCATGCAGAGGCGTTGGACAAGAGTTCCTGGCCTGTGCGGTACAAGGAGTCCCTGCTGACTTGAAGGCTATCTCTGGCAGAGACAAAGGGCAGAGAGGGTGAGATAACAACGAGAGGGTGCTGGAGAGATCACAGTTCACTCCACTGATTTGTTCTTTACAATCTTATCACCCTCACCATAGCAAGCTTGAAGCAAACAACCCTCTCCCATGACCGTAATCACCTCTCCCTAGGAGCCGCAGCAGGGGAACTGCATCCAGAACACTCTCGCAAGGAGAGGTGGACTCGTACACACTCCACAGGACCACTGCAGGGGGAACAGGACAACTCATGTCTGACTCCACGGTTATGGACTACCCACAGCTCCTATTTAATCCATCCTCCCTGTGAAATCCCTGAAATCCCATAACCCTGCCTGAATTATTGAATGAGGCTCAGCTTTTACAGCAAAGAGTAGGAAATCAACCGCATTAACAGCATTAGCAGCAAATCGCACATCAGCAAAACTCTCCCTACCAGTCCTCTGGGCCATGCTGCTCCGATGAGGATACACAATCGAATGTATCCCCGACATCGGGCATCGCTGTCCCTGCTATCAACACCCCAGAGATAGAGCCACACTGGTTAAAGCAGGTAAGAGCCAAAATGGCCAGTGGGCAGTTGGGAGAATTAATAAAAATACATAAGTGTGTGTAGCATTTACCTCCCAAAGAGAGTTAATCCGGGGAAGAGCTTTTGTTTGGCCCTCCCACTGCTTACTGGGATGTTTAGGCACTCAAATGGTTTTGCAAGCCTGAGGTTGTTTCCCACTGACTGTCCGCACCTACCTGCATCTTAAGCAGGTTTTTTCGCTCTGTGACACTTCTGTAAAAGAGGAAATGCTCCCTAGGACACTCAGGAGAGCCGTGCCTGGAAAGCACTGGATGAATGTAAATTATTTGCGCCGAAGACGTTCCAAAAAGGCAGAGCACGGCTGCCTGCCTGGCCACCTCCTCTGGAAACAGGCATGACTGAGCCCCATGGCAGCACCAGTGCCTGCCGCTGGATTTTCTGAGAAACTTAAATGATCCCTGTAGGTGGAAAGGCTCAGTACCTCCCAGCTGACTGTAGAAACAGCCTTTGCCCTGGGGAGACTGAGAAAACGCTGATCTGCTTGGATCTGACATTTCCAGCAGCGAACCAGAGCAGAGGCAATCCTTAGAGCCCCTTGGAACAAAGCCCTCAGCCTCCTGCAACGCACCATCTCCTGCTTCTGACCTCTCCTTCCCTACTTGTGCTGAATGCAGCACTCCGCCGGGCTAATAAGGCATTGAGATTTGCCACCAGCCACTACAGGGGCTAAAATGCTAATGATTATCCTCTCAATAAAGGGCTGTTTTTTCAAAAAAAGCATAGAAGTGGCTTTTTCAGCTTTCAGTTGTTAAGTGCCTTTTTAGCTAGACCAGCTGTTCCTCTCCTCCAAGCTCTCTAGAAACCCTCTTTGGTTAATCCCATTGACTCCAATGATATCTGCTAATTGCATGCTTCCCTGCAAATGAAGCCAGTCAACAAGCCATTACGGATTCCTACTGATACTTAATCTTTGAGGCCAGACATCTTTGCTTACCTTTTCAGAAGGGAACTTCAGGAGGTCTAAGCTGTCCATGCTGTTCCTTTGGAGTCTCTTTGGCCTGGCTCCTGCAAAACAACGCACTCTCGCATCAGGAGGGTGTCACTCACCGACAGCACTAATGTCACACAGATAAAATTCAAACCAGGGCAGACCCTCCACTCCAGTTAACTACAAAGTCAAAAGGACGAGATGCTGCAGCTGTGCTGTCCTTGAGATTCAAAGGTGTTTTTTTCCTCTGCTGTTTTGGGTCTTTTTCAAAACACTATCACCGCACAGTCAGCAACAGCTAGGGCTGCGTGAAGGTTTTGCTATCGAACCAGTGGCTGGGTCACGCTACAACCCTGATCTCCAATGAGGTCTCTGGAATTCAACCCCACTCCAAACAACAAAAGTCAGGGGGCTGACATTGAGAAAAATCATAACAAAAATATAGTCTAATAAATACATGGATTTGTTGCTTTATCTTCATGTTTTTAACTTAAAGAATGTATCTGGGATGCAGCTTTGAGCTTTTCTCTACAGTCACAGGAGCTGGAAAACTAAGTGAGAGCGCAAATATTTTCTAACTATCATAGGCCCAGCTTTAAAGGGAACAAAACCTTGCCCTGAAGCTGACAGAGAAATCAGAAAATTTGACAGCATTCATTATATTTCTTTGAGATTTCATAAAATTCATTTTAATGTAGTATTCTAGCAATAACAGAGTGGGTGAAACACAGTTCAGCTCTGACTCCTGCTTTCCAAACTCTTTTTACCTCCACGTCTCCCTCCAACCTGCTTCCAGCTGCTATTGCCTTGCTCACTAACACAGCCAGGATTTACAAAATGGCCCTGGGATGCCTTCCACCACATCTGGGAAAACTTCTGCCCTTCCGCCTTCCTGCTCCCCTTTTCTGATCGTTCCTGAAGGTTCAGTTTAGCTGAGCACCACGTGACGTCCCACACCAGCAACACCAAACAGGGCAGAAAGGAAAGCTTTGGACCCAAGGTCCCATGACAACTTCCAAGCTTCAGGGGAAATCCTGGGGGAGGGCGAATGAACGCATGTGAATTGAAACCCATCCCCATGCTGAGCCCTGAGAACGGAAACCACTGAGCTTTGTGTGGTTCCTGCAACAGCAAACTCACCAAACCTAAAGATTCCCCAGTTTCCCACCACCACCCAACAGCACCCTTGCTTATGTTACAGCAGCCCCACGGATCCTGTTCAAACGCAGGGTGCCACTGAGCTGCTCACTAGACAAACTTAACGAGAGAGAAGGCACAAAATTAATAAACCAATTCAAGACCGACTGTAAGCAGAACATGGTGATTAAATGGAAAAAGCCACCAGGTAGCAGGGATTCCTGCACGAACACACATCCAGATCAGCCAGGGCTCTAGATGCGACCACAGCTGTATCTGAGCTACGGCAACTCCAAAGACACCGCTGTGTGAACTTTGAGAAGTTCAACCTTGCTCAGCTTCATGAGATACAAAGAGAAGCTCAGGTCAGCTGGGACTTCACTAAAGGTCATGCAGATAAATGACACATTACTTATAAATGACCTAAAGCTACTTTCACTGCCCCTCGCTGCTTCTTCACTACCCTGAAATGATGTACTTCTTGCAGCCATAAAGATTCAAATAGGCAAAATGTTTCTGCGTGTTTCTGTATCTCCACTCCAAAAAGCCATTAGCATCAGCTTCGTTTTAAGGTGACTTCACTACTAGGCTTTGAATTCAGAAGGGACTGACAGCAGGGCTAGTGAATAGGTGCAGAACAGATATTAACGTGAATGCACCATAAAGCCAGAGAGCAAGGAAAACGTGTAATGATACGCAGTCGCCATTCCTACCGAATTCTACCGCCCTCCGCACTGCAAAGCCAGTTGCTCGCTTGGCAGCAGCTCAGTAACAACAGGATTTGATCCCGGAAGGTCAGCAATTGCTGCTGACGCTGGCAGGGGTTCAGACACGGGACTGCCCTTCCTTTGGAGCTGGCAGGAAAAAAGGACTTTGCTGCCCTCAACAAAGCAGGCAGAACTCTTGATTTTACCGTTTTTATTCCAGTCTTTGCTTACGTTTACTAATATATTTGATCAAAGGTATCTTATACTTGCTAACGTATCTTAAGCACCTCCTGTAAGCAGGACGGGAAAGGCTCGTACTGTTGGATACCAACCAAACAATATGGTTATTTGGTAGCTGAACACGTCTATTATTATGGGCTGGATGTGCACTCAGCCATGAAGACAGATGAAACCATCAAGCCCAAGCCCTCTCCCACCATAAAATGGAGTCAGCTGCACCCACTCTCGGTGGCGCAACCCCTGCCAGAGAGACCAGTTCACGCTGTACAGGACTCCCATACGCTAAACACTGCCCAAGCTTAAGCTCCTCGGGGGCATCAGTGATACCACTTTCCAGCTGGGAGGACCCAGAGCTGAGGTCCTGTACCAACTCAGTAGGAGACACAAGACACCCCACACCCAGCTCCCATCACTCCACCACGCTCCCACCAGCAACCTGTGGGTATCGGCACGGAGCGGCAGGGCTGCCACCGGCCCCAGGCGTCCTCCCACGCTGCCAAACGAGCGAAGGGATTTTGGCTGCTGCCACGTCAGGCAGGCAGGAGCTCAGCGAGGGGAAGGCAGCAGCGCGTTCTGCCCCGTGGCTCCCAGTCACGCGCGATGATATTCCGGACATTGCTATAGCTGCTCGTGGCTCTCAGTTCCCTCAGAATTACCTACGGTTGTATGTGTGGAGCAGCAAGGTGGGTCTGGCATAAAAGACACCTACAAACACTTAATCAGATGGTACGTTTGGGTTTCAAAGCAATGCCCAAGAGGTGAGGCCAGCATCTGGAAGCGAGCGTGCGTCACAGCGGCTTTTAACGGCCACTTCCAGGAAAGCAAGAAAGAAGCAAAGTGTGTCTGATTAGATAAACACGCATCATTTCCAACAGTCTAAAGAGTCGTTAATTATACACCTCCGTCCTCAGGTGCTTTTGTACGTTTGCAATAGCATTATACTGCTGGCCAGAAACCATTAATCTCTGATCTGAGAAAACCTGCCTTCCCCTTTGTTAATTTAATATACATAGTCAGCTGAGACTACCCCAGCAATTAGGGCACGCAGAACAATTTGTCTTTTTCAGTTGTTTTGATGCTGGCGTTCCTCTGTTACCATGTGGATTTCACATTCAGTTGAGCTAAGAGAGACAGAAGTTAAGAGTTACAAACTCTGCTTCAGAGCCATCCAACTCAGCTATTTTCTTCCAGAAAAAAACATGACCAATCCTGGGGCCAAACACTGGTCTCGCAAAAGCCCACGGTTCTGCCATCCCCACTCACTGGGAGCTGTCCCGCAGGTGGAGCAAGCAGTGCCATTAAAAGGAACAGCTAAAAAAATTAAGCAGCTACCTATCACTCAGGACTATCATAAACTGGATCGACGCAGGCAGCAATTCCCACCGCGCTTCCAGGAGCTTCTCCCCTTTACTCCACGGCAGACACCAGACACGCTCGGTAGCCTGCACGTACTCATCTTCCAGGAGAGCAGAGAGATTTCCATACTCACAAGCACCCCACGACAGAATGAGTCCCGTTAACTTTCTGTCTCCGACCAGGACATTCCCTCAGATGGCTCCAGATGTAACTTTCAGCCTCTTCCGAGTTATTTTTCCCAGAAATACCTGCAGCACCACCTAATATTCAGCAAAAGTTCAACTCTGCCTCTTTCTCCCCAGTGCCGATCAACAGCGGCAGCAGCAGCTGTAGAGGCAAAGGATTGAGCAGCTGAAAACCTTGGTCTGTTCCTCTGGAAGGTTTTTTCCTCTCTCCCCAGTATTTATTGGCGTGTTTACCAAGCCTACTGCAGAGTAACGGAAAACCTCAGGGGCATTTCTAAATGCTCTCTCTGTCTTTAAGGTTTACTGAGGTCTCTAATAGAGCAAGTTGAAACCTTCTTGTGAACATCAGCTGAGCAACGCTACTGACTGGCCGTATTCATGCCTTGTTTTCCTCGAGCTCCTCGGATGTTGTCCTTTTCAGTGCTCAGGCTCAGGGTTGTTGTTTCATTTTTAAATATTTTTTTCAAAATCTCTTCCCCCCCCCATGATCTCAACGTCACCATGAACCAAGCGGGTTTTTTTTTACATTTTGATTTTGCAATTTCGTTCCTGAGGTGAGTTTAACAGTTTTCACATTCCTGTATTTTAAAACTTGATGAAGCAGTCCCCCCCCTTCCCAGAAGGGAGCAACAAACTCCAGGGAGGGGGAACTTGCTGCAACAGAGCAGAGGGGGATGCTTATGTGCTTGCTCGCGTGCATATGAGACATCTTTGCTTCCTCCAGCTCCTTCATATCCCCCATCTCACAAATACTCCTTATTCTTCTGTCGTTGGGACACTAACCCAACATATCCATGTCAGATACCCATCTTTGTCCTCTGTCTCACATCCCCACCCTGCAGACATGGTGACGGTCCCTCCGCACTTCCTTATGCTACCTGGGATGACATGGATAGAGGAACCTTTATCTACAACCTCCTCTTCGCAGCCAGAAGTTTGGCAGGGCATGCTCCCTACTTTCCTTGGGCTTTTTAAGCCAATCAGTGTAGAGCAACACTGCGCCCTGCATGTCTGATGGAGAGCCGAAACCAGAGAGCTGACATGGTGCGTGCAGCGAGCACAGCATCTTCCCCCCCATTCTTCTCCTGCCCCCTTGGTATCTGTCACCAGCTCCATACTGCCCAGAAGGGCAGGATCAGTACGGTCTCCAGAGGGAAGGACCCTATTCCTGTGCCACAGGCAGGCCCTCCAACAGGCGAGTCCTCAGTTTTCAGGGTGCAAGTAGAGGAGAAACGCTCACATAGCAAAAATTCTCCAGCACTACCTTGCTACAAAGTGAGATGTAGCCAGAGAAAACACACGGAGGTGTTTTATCATAGGATGGTGATGGGATCACCCCATGTAAATTTGCAAAGCTGGGTAGACAGTGTGGGCAGAGTTTTGCTCCTCTATGGACAGTCTCCATATCCAGCTGGCGCTCCTGAGATTTCAGAGTTGATAAGATCGAGCAGA